GGGCAATGCTCTGACAGTTACAGCTGAGGTATCATTTTTCATGTAAATAGAGGATGGCAGGATATAGCGATCCTGCTGTGTGTGAAATTAGCCGTGGCACACATATACACAAGATCAGCACTGCAGATTGCCTTAAAAAAAACAAAAACGGGGCTATATAAAGACTTTGTTTTTTGTTGCAAGCACACACACACACAAGAAATCTACCAGTCAGCCAGTTTCTACAAAAGTTTCTGTGATGTGGGGGTATTAGAATTTACCAAAACGAAAAAAAAAAGGAAGAAAAATTGCCAAGATGAGACATGCTGCACAAGCAGCTGCCTGAATGGCCAATGCACCTCAACAGCTCTGTTGTCCAATTCAGCAAACAGATGGTTCAACCTGTCATTCATAAGTGCTGATGTAGCCATGCTCAGAGCAGAGCCACCGAGTCCCCAGAGCAGGATATCACTGCTAACTGTCATCCTGGTACTTTGATTACTGGACTGGGAGGAGAATGATGACTAAGGCCGCTGTAAGTCCTGGTCAGACTCTTTAAGGCTGTCAAGGAAAGCGAGTTCATATTTCTCCCATAACATTTATACAACATCCCTATGGTTCACATTATATATTGTTTAAAATAGATTATACAACATGACAAGATGTCATTTTCTGTATAGCATTCATAAAGAGCAGATAGCATTTAGTAAATGTTTAAGGAATTATACTTTCAAGACTTAATTAAACTCAGTGGAATGTATCCTGTGAAACATCAAGAACAGCATGCTGGTATAGGAACCATAATGATAATTAAATTATATATAATTTATGGTTTCCAAATCATTTTCATTAAAATTGACTTTATATGTAAATGCATGACAGACAAACCTGTACTATAGCGTTAAAACACCAGCACCACCCTGTGTGCAAACCATCCAGCTAAAGATTTTCAGTTGGAATATGCATGTCTGTCTGACTGTGTGATTTCAACCCATGGGCTGCAATATAAACAAGCTTTTATTAAAAAATAAAGCCAAAGCGCTGAAAATAAATAAAACAAGGGCACTCCTATTGCTAACAACACGTGCCTAAAGCAGTGGTTCTCCAACTGTTTCTGGCAAGCTTCGCTCATTTTTTATCAGTCGTTTACAAGAAAAACGCTTTCATGCTAAATTTATGTCATGTAGCAATCAGCAAAGCTACATAATTTGTCTTCCCGTTGGTGTGTTTTACTACATAGCCCTGTTAATCCATGAGATGCCCACAACTGAACTTGCTTACTTACTCATGTATGTATTTATTTACTTTCTGTAAAATACTATTTAGATTTGGAACTTGCACTTAAGGTAGACCTATTAGACTTTTTTGGATGTGTATGATGCTTAAGAGAGCGCACTCATCTCAGGCACAGCAGCCCCTCCTATCCTCTGTTCAAGCCTTCTGTTTGCGAGGTGCAACTAACTGAAATAACATTAGCTCAAAGGAAGAAGAGCTAAAATGACTTGTTTTAGATTGTGAGTAAACTGAGGGACTGTAGCCAGTACTGGAGTGTCCATGTAGGAGCTTCAAAGGAATATATGATGATGGACCAATCAGCACACTAGTTAATCTGGTCCAAAACTTGGCTACACATCACACTTTGTGCAGCTGTGACACTGCAGCCTCTGGATGGCAGGTTGGATGGATGCTACCACCAGAGGAACCAACAGTATAGCTAGAACTAAAGTGTTGCCCTATTCATTTAGTTTTCTCAAGGATAAAAAGCTTGACTAGTCTTGAGTATTAAAATCCCATCTGATTGGCCAAATGTAACATTTGTGTTTGTGCTACGAACCCTTAACATGTAGTTAAAAGAGCTCTTATTTAAGCATAGAAAGCATTAAAAAAGAGAAAATGCATTCTTTGGTGATATCCAAGGTTACCAGATTTTAGGACCTGCCTGCTAAGAAATCCTGACAAAGTATTAAAAATTAGCATTTCATTTAATATTTTGGTAATGTCTGTAATAACTCCACATTAGTTAATGCAAGTTTTTGTTCAATCCCTTGAATTAAAGCTGAGAATCTATCTGTAAACATACACGGCAGACCCAGTGGCATTTCGACACTTTATTGACTCACACGGTTGCTGTCCACAATACTCACAGAGCTGCAGCTCTCCCGCTGCCCGCTCAACATTATCACAACAACAACCACCACAGGACCCAGTACAATATTTAAGTCGGCGGGGCGTGATTGCAGATGCCGTACAGGTGCGCCCGCCTCCTCTGCACGGCACCGCAGGCCACGCCCCGCCACACTATCATCATTTTCAAACTTAAGCATTAATCCTTGGTTGCATTGCTTGAAATGTGTCACTACCCTGGAAAATAAATGGACCTAAGTGTATAACGCCTGCTCACACATCTGTATAGGTTTGTGCTTAATGGATCATTTACAGTGAATACAATAACCTGAATAAATGAAGCAACTATTCTGGCATCAAGATCGAAGTTAAGATAAAAACTGAGATATTATGATATTTGAACTTTAGTTTGACATTTTTAAAGTTTGAGTGGAACAAATAGGTTTAAGAGAGGGCTGCTAGGAAGCAACTAAGACAAACCCTTTAGGGAAAATACACTGAGAACATTTTACCGCGGTGTGTAAGTTGCTGTGGGTTAAGACAAATTCAAAAATTGAAATGTGCTACAGTATATTTTTTCGCATAAAAAGATCATGTGGCCTCCTCGGGGGCCACATGAGTGAGATTTTGAATAGCAGCAGAGATTTCTAGGAACATGCTGGAATGTTCCATGTCCCTTTGCACTTGAGATTAAACCGGCACATAACAGAGTTGTTGCTTCATTGAAAGATGACTCAGTGTTTTTGCAGCTGCCAGTTTGAGAAGTTTAAGAAGAAACACGGGAACATTTACAAAGGTGCGGAGGCCAATGTTTGGGGACATTGCGATCGATGGTATGCCAAATATCTCACTTATTTTAAATAAAAAATTCTTGCAGAAGATAACAGCTGTAGCTTACAGTATATTAACAAAATAAACATGGTTATGTAACATTTCACAGCGTGTGTAAGCACTGGTATATTTCTGGTGTTAGGTTATGACATCATGGCACTCAGCTCATCTGATTGATCACACACAGAATCCTATCCCTAGTCCTGCTCTCCTGAAGTGGGTGGGGAGCAGTGTGCTATCTGTGGACTGGAAGAAGTGACAGGACCAGCTGGGGACTGAAATCCAGTCAGAGAGGCAGTTGGTATGGGAAGCTCAGACCATAACAGTGCTCTGCTACAGCGGCGTGTAACTCAGCTTCGTGAGGAAAAACCTAGACAGGATTCAGTGTAGTTTCTAATATGCATCAGGAATTCTACAAGTAATAGTGGAAATGATGATGTTCTGCGAGGCTCATTCAAGAACTCCGGAGTTCAATCAGAGGCCAGTATTCTTAGTAAGTGATTTAGCTAATCGCATGCTAACATCTTCTGATAAGTTATAGTCAACAGAGCAATGGGTGGGAAGCAGTCCCGCATTTTGTCCAGCAAGGAGTTGAATGACATGAGTGTGAGCCAACGGAGACAGAGTGCAATTAGAGACGACCAGCCCAGCATGTCCTTGGCTGCTGGGAGGATCCGAAGACACACTCGACTGCATTTTGGTTACAGCACCCTAAGTCTAGCCATGCGAGGACTAAATGAAACACCAACTGAACTATGGCAACTCCAAGACCTTCAGAAGCTAAACTTGTCAATGAACTGCCTGCGCTCTTTGCCCTCTTCCCTGGGTGCTCTTGACAATCTGGTGGTTCTAAACTTGTGGGGGAACAACCTGTCCCGCCTTCCACCTGAGATTGGCCTTCTAAAGAAACTGCGTGTGCTCTTCGCCTGTCGCAACCGCCTGAGTGAGGTACCAGAGGAGCTGGGCTCCTGTACCTGTCTGGAGGTGCTCAGTTTGGCCAATAACCAGATCACAGGCCTGCCAAGCAGCTTGGCAGCCATGCGCAATCTCACAAAGCTCAATCTCAGCCACAACCACATCGCTCACATTCCCACCTGCGTCTATAGCATGAAGGGTCTGGTCTTCCTCCATCTCGCCTGCAACCGCCTGGAGACCATTGCGGACCAGATTCAGGACCTGGTTAATTTAAAAATCCTCATTGTGGAAGGAAATAGCATACACACATTGCCCAAGACTCTGTGCTTCCTGGAGTCTTTAGAACTCCTAAATGTTGACTTCAATGATCTGCAAAGCGTACCAGTGGAAATGTACTTATTAAGTAAGCTGAGGCGGCTTGCGTGCCACCCACTCGATAAAGGACTCCATATTGTGCATAACCCCCTTCTCAAACCTATCCAGGAGGTGCTACAAGGAGGACTCAGTGCTCTCTATAACTACCTCAAGCCCACTTGAGAGGGTACTACTGTGCATGTGTGTCTAAAAGAGTGTGCTGTAAGGGGAAGCTGCCACAAATCTGACCCTTGGCATATTGTAGTCACGCTCTGAGTTTGTTGTTACCTCAGACTGTCTGTCAGTGATATCATGATTCAAAGCAACTGCTCAGTAATAGTTTTATAAGTAATCTTTTAATCACTGACAGATTTTCTATTTTTCATGTAATCTTTGGATATAAATAAACCAACTGTTGTGTCACATCTAAATATTTGTTAAGTAACGGGCTCAGGATGAGTAGTTCAGCTCAAGCAAAAATCCACAGGTCTGCATTTGGGTGCTGATTACTGTTCAGCTGACCTTGTTGGGCTCGCAGCAGTGAAAGACATAGGGCTAAGTTCAGCTCTCTAAGCACAGCTCTCTTTGTTGCATTCAGGTCACAGGGATCAGGTGTGTAAAGTCAGTGGAAAGAACAGCGGAGGGAGCTTAAGATCTGCAAAAGAATAAAACAAAATGCAACAGGGACTTTGTCTCTCATTAAGTGTCGTTCCACTCCATCGGGTCAGAGCAGGGCTGCTAGGGAGCACCAGCTCCTCTGAGGATTCTGGATGCTGTAACACTGTTACACCAACAATTTTAAAAACAGCGACAGAGAAGGGCATACAGTGCATGAAATGTACTCCAAAAACAGAATAAATGTGTACTAAAGTGGGACATATTATTCATTTAATTTCAAATAATTAGAATAAAACATGTAGTGTAATTAAAGTTGAAAGCTATTGGGTAGACTTTTGAGGTCGAACTAATTTGTGTGCATACAAATTACACATTATATTTAAAACAGTAATCACATTAACCATTTGCAAGGTGAAAATGTTAAAGCAAAATGTCTTGTGTAAAATTATGTCTGATGTCTCCGGACACTGGACGTTCAGACACATTGAGAACTTTAACAACTCGGTTTTATGAAGTTTCTTTTAGATAGTAATGTGTAATTTGTTTAGTTTTTATATAAAAGTAACAGTATGTCTGGACTGTACATGTATAGTTAAATGCTGAAGTTTGGCTCAACCATTTAATTGTGTAAAAGAATAAATAAATTGGACTTAATGTAACCATTTTACAAAAACCTTTAAAGATTACTTCAATATTGGAATGATAACACAAGCATCAGCAGTTCATTATTAATGCAATATTGGTCAAATCACTGATTCTGATTCTGATCACTGCAAACCCAAAGCATCATCTGTGAACATGTGCACTCTCTTCTCACTCCTGTATTGTCATAATTGTGTAGATGAGGATTTATTTTGAAAGGTTAATTATTTATTCTGATGAAGCCGTCTGCTTTTCAAAATAAGACTTGCTTTTTCACCCATGATGGGGAAGGCTGAGGTTTAGTATGCCTTCGGCTCTCCAACAGCCAGCAGCAAATGTCTTGTCATAAAATAACCTCGTTTTTAGTGCCGCAACAGAACACCGTTACGATGCGATGAGTTTGATTAAGTGTATTTATGCAAATGCATAGACCAGCTTTAAAAAGGTCACATTTAACCAAAGTGAAGATTAAAAGTGGAGTAGACAAGAGAGAAAAGCGACCTCTGTTGGTATGTACCTGTTACTACACCAGTCAAAGTCGAGTTTGCAGGAATAGCAGAGAGATTCACTCTTTCTCTCTCTCTGACTCGCTGAGCAATGCACACACACACACACGCTATGCATTCATGATAGATGAACCCCTCTTGAATAAGTCTTTGTCCTAGATAGTGATCATGGGACATGCTGTCAAATGAAGTACCTATAAAGATATGGCTTTAATGTGAGTCAGATGACCTGAATTCAGGTTTTGTGTGTTACTGTTACTATTCCGGTGACAATACATTATACTGTCGCATTGTCTGCTTGTGTCACTTATTCAACATCAAGTGAACATACATAGAAACATTTCTCCTCAGTAAGTAATAGATAAAAGTCTTATTTTACATCAGTAAAGTCTGGGCTCCACTGATGAAATGCAAGTAACCTCGTGTGTATTGTTAAATAAAGCACAAAACTACACTAGAAAGCAGCACGAGAACAAATTAATGCGATCCTTTCCTGTTTGGCAATCAACCTCAGTGCAGTCAGCGGTGCTAACTTAGTGGTCAGATGTACACCAGGGATTACCCATAACTATAGTTACCAGGCTTTGAAAGGATTTGCTGATCCTGTTTAATTGCTATGTGCTCCAATAACTTTGCTTTTTAATGAGACACTGCACGACACAACAACTGAACACAGACTGACACCGGCGGTCTTCATTCAAATGTGTTTTGCATTCATAAGCCAAAGCTCAGAAAACAGTTTAGCATCACTAGCAGCCAGGGACTTCCCACAGTGAAGGACAGCTAATCAATCTCGTATTGAGCTTTTGACAATCACGGCACGGGATAATCGCAGGGGAATTAAATGACAAAACCACTGTTGTCTCGCAGCCACATGAGGAGAGACTTAGTAAGTCTTTCTTTAGTGTGCAGTTTAAGTTCTAAGATTTATTCAGTCATACTGAGTGCCCTCACATGGGGTGAGGTGATTGGCATTTATTGACAACGCATTAGACTGCCACTTATGTCAATTACAAAGTGTCATTTAGCTCATCATTCTTATATTCGGCTGGTGTAAACTGTCCCTGCAGGGAGAGATGTGAAGGAGAATAGATTAGAGGAAGGACAACAGGTGGCTATCCATGACAAAATGCCAATATCACCTACTCGGTAACTCAGCATGTTGAAATCAGCAGCACTGAGTTACTGCCATATGACAGCAGTCTATGAGGCCTAAACATAGAATCAAAGGGAACCTGGTCTGGCATCAATTTCGGAGGCATTTCCATCCTCCAATCAGTGCAATATCACAGCTTTTTGTGTCTTGATTTGAGAGTGTGATGAAAGAAAGATTGCGAAAGGTTACGGGAAAAAGCAGGCATGCAACCAGGTACAGGATTTTTAGTGATGAACTCGAATGTGTTTCACTGCTCAAAAAGTGTGATGCTGACTATGAACCGATGTAGTGTAAGAAAACTGATCTGACTAAGAAATGTGTACGTGTCTAGTCAGAGGTAACGCTAGAACAGAGTAAGTTACCAGTGAATGTAGATAACAGGTTGGTCATAGTTAGTCAAGTGTAATTCAAATTTCTCTATAAGCACTTAAACAAACAGGAGATATCAAAACAGAGATAAACCGATGTAGACGAGATCACAGGTAGGAAATAAAATAAAAGGTGAACAATAAAATATCAAATAAAAAATTCGAGTGTGAAGTGTGACTTTAAAAAACCTGATTATAATAAAAAAAGTGAAAAGCATAAAAGGCTTTATTAAAAAGGATCAAATCGAGCTAAAACAACTTCTCAGCTCTTTAAATAATGCAGTTAAAGGTACTGAGATAAAGGCAAAAAATGGATAAATGGTTGAAATAGATAAAAGTAATGGAAGCATTATTTAACAGACACATTTGAGACCTGGCTGGTGGTGTTACTCAGTTTTAGTTTGTTACAGCTGTAGGGATAGCTCAGACAAAAGAGGCCACTGAAGTGGGATGGGATATGGGATATATTTGTTGAACACGACATAAGACTGTGTCTGTGGCGAACCACTGCAACACACCCCTCGAAGACGCACAAACCCACTCAGACTCACGCTCACTCCGTGCATGTGTAAGCGCAAACAATGATGTTATCCATTCTCTCCTCTATCCAATCACAGGACTTCACATTCTCACGTATTCCCATGACGGCTCTGCTGGTAATCATGCATTCCTGGCGACATAACTGTTACAGCCAAAACAATACCAAAACACCACAAAGAGACATGTGGCATTTCTATGAAATGCTTCATCCATTGTTTGTGTGCTCACCTAGAAAAACAACAACTGGAACCATATATCCTTGACAGCAGGGGGTCATTTTGAAACTAAATGTAGACTCATGTCAATCTGGCTGCATTTTAATTAGCCGTGAAAACTGCTGGTACAAGTGAAATGGCCATGTGTGTTTATGCATGCAAAAACAATAAGGGGATGACATTGGTTGACTTTGTCATTAGCTGATCTTCATCCCACTGTTTGATATAGCAGGGGAAATATCCCAGGGTTGTTTGTACTTGCTGTCTCGGATAAATCTAATTTTAAACAAATATTTGCCTATATTAAAACAAAGCATCACTACCGATTCATCGAAGCTGGAAAAATGTGGGCGACAGAACAGCCGTGGTTTTCCTGGTCAAATAATGGAGCGCTTTTTGAATGTCAGCTTTGCTCTAACAGGATCGATGCATTTTGTCAAAAAGGACACACAAGGTGAACTGTGATGAGAGCCTAGATGGGAGAAGTTATAATAAATGAATGCATTAAGGTGTCAAGTTCAACGTGCCTTCTGTGAGGATCGGTTTGTTGTAGTCCCAACTAAGTTTGCACATGTTCTGCAACCGGCAGGTTTTTTTTCTTCAATAATAACAAGATGTCTGCTGTATGATAGGAAGCATTGAGTATATATAATATGTATGGGGATGGACTAAATATTCCATATTTATGCAGGTAAAAACATCTCACTACACTTATGAAGAGTTTAATCACATCATGACGTTCATCAGCAAATGACATTTGCCTAGTTGTTCTGGAAATAGAGACGTTCAAATGTCAAAGAACTTTAAAAAAGGAGTGCTGGGTGGAAGTGAATTATTTTATGACTCACTTCCACTTATTTTACTCATTTTTTGGCTTAAAGACACTGCTTCACCAACTTTACTGCGTGTCTAATTTTATGAACATTCTCCATAAAAATGGCTTTAAATCACAGGAATGCAACAGTCTTTCTTACAGATCACAGATAGAAGGGCATTCTGTTATAACATCCTAGCCACAAGAGGCCTAATTAGAAGTTATAATTATAGGGTAACTTCATTATATCTGATAACTGACTGATTTAATATATTCCATACACATTTCTGTGGGAAAACGGTGTGACATATGTGACATATGACTTTGTTTCCAATATTCTGCTTATAAAATGTTCAAGGTTAGTTTTTGACAAAGGTCTTATCGTGTCAGTATTTAGTTGTTTATTAAATATAACGTATTTATCCATCAATCCGTCTATTATCTTGAATAAGTAATTAAAAAAACAATTAGAAAATCAGGCCAGTATTAACATGGTGACGGTCTAACTACCCCAAAGTATCACACTAAACTAAATTCAGTCTTCGCAGCTGTTCCAAATAAACCAATAAGAGGCACAGTCGGAGGTGAGAGGAGGGGACATCCTCGTCTGTCCTCTCACTCACACGTGCCCTCTACTGGCCAGACAGCGCGCACACAGCCGCTGCTCTCCTGGAGCTGCCGGACCACTCAATCCAGGCGTAATTCAGGAATCAGGACTCACTCACACATTCCTCCTTCAAGTGTGGAGCAAGCCGGCAAGGAGCAGCCGTGTCGGCGACAGCCTCCACTCACTCCGCCAAGAGCACGCGAAGGGACTTTAGATTCCCCACTCCTTAAAGTATAGGTGTAGGATTCAAGTTCCAGTAAAGAAAGAAGAGTTGCCAGTTAACCCCTCGGCTGGGGGTTAACGCGACGACGGCGGTGTCGACATGGATAAAGTTATCAATTGCTTGTTTGCTGCATTAACCCTGCTGATGTCCGCTCGAGGGGAAGTTTTTAAAGGTAAGGACGATTACCTGGAGATGTTTTTCAGGTGCCGAACACATGCTTGGTCTTTAATTGTGCCACAGCCGGGGCACGAAGTAGAACTGATATGCGGGTAAAATGAGTTCAACCACTATTTTGTGTCATAGTTTAGTTG